CCAATCTTGGCATTGGCATCTCTCATTATGAATTTGACATCCTTCCTTGGTAGTTTGTCGATGACCCCCCCCCTGGCGCTGGCTGTAAAAGGCATCCTTGTCTTCATCCGAAGCATCATTTGTTGGGGCGTAGATATGGACTATATTCATGTTGATGCTCTTGCTCCTTGTAGTGAATGAAGCCATGATGATCCTCTCCCCGTGTGGTTCCCATCCTCTAAGTGACTTCTGTGCATACTTACTCAGAATGATTCCCACTCCTTCCGCATGGTGCTTGTCTTCCCTCCCAGAATACAATACTTGTTCCCCCGAGCTGAGCTGCTTCTGTCCAGACTGTATCCAGTGGGTTTTGCTGGCTCCTAGTATGTGCAGCCTGTATCTCTTCATCTCTTGTACTACTTGAGAATTCTTTCCTACTTCATACAAGGTGCGAACATTCCACGACGTAATCCCGAGAGACTTGTTCCTCAGAGAAGGTTTCAGGTCAGGAGAGTCCTTTCGTCTTTGTCCACTGTCCTTCATTGTTCCTCCTGATGCAGAAGCTCCTCCGTCTCACAAGATCGAAAAATAAAAAGCTGTGTTTGTCCATGTTTCCGTAACTGATTGTTTTTTACTGGGTCGGACAGTTGGCCCTCCGCAAACTGACCCTTTTCGGGCGACCTGATCTTCTGGTAGGAAAGATCTACATCTAGTCTTCTCGGAAAAGGGAGAAAAATCGTGGAGGTCCCGTGTGCAAGTTGCGCACGTTGAAGATCCTTTGGTGGTATAAAATCGGTAAGAGTAGGCTTCGGTCGCCAACCGGGCAAAATTCGAAATTTCCTCCCTAATGAAAATGTTTAATATATCCCGCGCGCTCATATGACCTTATTATGCAGTTGCGAGCGCCGTAAAACACTTACCAAATTATATTTTTCAAAGGATATTCACCAGCGGTAACCTGACCAATAAGTCGCTCTTTTGGGTAATCCAAGCGATGACGACACTTGTAGCGAGTTTGGCGGTACGGCACATTAATAATAATAATATCAATACGACGGTAAATCTCAAATGTGCTCCTTTCACGCATAAACCAACTTTGCTGCACAAACCAAACTTCTTCAGTCGAGAGTCATTGATTTGAGAGAGTGAGAGAGAAAAGGGGGAAAAAGAGAGAGGGAGACAGAGGGGGGAAGAGGAAGAGAGAGAGGGGGGAGAGGGAGAGA